ATGGGACAAGCCCGCCACAACCTCCCAAAACCGCTGCAACTCCTGTAAGCCAGGATCTACAGTAGATACAACCATGAAAACACCGGAACATTGAAGTCCGGCGCGTCCCAGGGACATGAGTAACTGTCTTGGTTCCCGCAACGAAGTGAATCAGAAGATATTATAAGAGGAGAAGAAGAAAAAACTATAGTTTCTACTTCCCTCGGTGAATTACTGCAGGAGACAGAATGAATTAAGCCTAAAGGCACAAAGAAGAGACTGTATAACTGGGTGAAGCCCAGTCGCCAAGCACCACGGAAATTTGACTAAAAAACTAAGTAGGTCCTATGTGTGAGCTATTATACTTGCTTCCAATAATAGGTATGGCAAAAGCGCCTAAACGCACGGAAATTTGTTCTAGATTCCACAAGATCACACACACAAGAGAAAGATTTTAGTATATTCATTAACGGACTTTAAAAAAAGAATACCTCGAAATTCGTTTTTTTAAACGTACCTTATGAAAGTATCTAATATTACTCTTCTAGCTACGTTTCAGCTTTCTAACAAACCAATGGCTCTCTTTGGACAAAACCACGTGCATATAGAACCCCGTTAGCACAAACAAAACCAGAATTAGACAAGCCACAACTGTCCTGCGTCTGATTAGCTTCGTGTGGAAAATAGCCACAGGGACACTTTGCAATAGTGTTGTGGTCAACTCGAATAAGACCACAAAGGACTGCATTGAGAGGTAAGGTATAAGGTAAATCTTATACTATTATATAAAGCGGAAGAGTTTATTTTTGTGTTTGTGTGTGTTTGAACGCGCTAATCTCCGTAACTACAAGTCTGATTTGAATAATTATTTTTGTGTTGGATAGCGCATTTATCGATGATGGCTGTAGGCTATAAAACATCACGCTACGACCAATAGGAGCTGAGCAGAGCGTATGAAACCGCGCGGAAGTAGCTGTTGCCTTTGCATAGCTAGGTAGTGAAGTTATTCCTATAATGTCTATTTTAGACCTATTCCTTATTCCTATGATGTCTGTCTCGTTGGTCGAGTGGTTGCATTTGTGCGGAGTCTGGCACTGTGCCCGGTATATGACAATAGGCTCACCCCCTATTACATGGGACTCGTAACATAATAGTGAAAAATGGGTGTTACATGATACAGTGCTATTGAGTACCGTAATGTGAACCTCTGCCTACCGCTTCGGCATAAAGAGGAGTGATGTTAAGTTATGTGTCTATTTTAGAGTGCAACTGGTTTTAGAATCGCCAATCTATGTAAAAAGACACCTTGCAATCGTGCCAAACATTACCAGTGCTCACTGCTGAGCAAAAGTCTTTTTTCACTAGTGGAAGATATGAGTGTTAATTGCCAGAAATTAGTTCATGTTTCCTCACGATGTTTCCCATATCAGTGTTAGAAATTTCCATAGAATCTGATTCCGAGATCGAACCTATATATTTCACTGACAAATTAAAAAAAAAGGAAATTAAACCTCTTTACTAATGTCATAAAGTCTGATTTAGGTCGAAACTTAATGCTTTATACGCTTATAAACTCTTGATATTATGCGTATTATGATTAATATCAAGAGTCATGACATAATTTAATTAAAACTAAGAGAAGCTATAAAAAGTTCGTGTTTATTGGTCGCAAACGTGAGAACAGAGCTTCAAGATGTTGATAAAATACATGTGATTGGATTTTTTTTAAAGGGGAAATAATCGAATAACTTCTGCCGCCTGGGTGAGGCGGGAGAGAGTGTCAGATTCTTACTGACTAAAAACCACCATTTGAGGCGCGCGCGGAACGTGACAGAAGGTGTAGGCAGACGTGCACATTACGGCACTTAATGCCACTATACAATGTAACACCCACTTTTCACTATTTATGTTATGATACATCCCTCCCATGTAATAGGGGGTGGCTTATTGCCATATACCAGGCACAATTTTGGACTCCGTGCTACTACTGATTTTTTTAAATAATCCTAATAATTCTTTGCCCGGCGAATCGAATCCGAGACCCCTTGCCTGGCAGTCGGCATCTGCAAAAACTCGCCCAATTGGGCAGTCACCATACAAAAAATACTGACAGACAGAACAGAAATATTATACAGATCTAAAATCATTTCCATTAAGCTGAAGGTTATTGATTAATCGACATATAGAAA